GGTGGGCGGGCGGTGAGGGGGGTGGGAGGACCCGGCAGAGTGGGGCCCCTGACGCCCCCTCCCCAGCAGCGTTCCGCTTGGGGGTGGACATAGTGGCCCTGGGCCCCATGGGCCTGACCTCTGCCCCAGGACAGACCCCACCCACGTCGCATGAGGTGGTGGGGGGTGGGGCAGGCCAGTGCTGACCGGCAGTAGGCGTGGGGGCCCAGGCCGAGCAGGGCCGCGGCGCCCACCGAGTCCACATGCAGCTCCTGGTACAGCAGGTCGGAGTTCCAGGCCAGGCAGCTGAGACCCGAGGCCGCCGTGCTGGCCACGCCTCGGTACTCGGCACCGCTCCCCACGAAGCAGTGCTGGCTGGGCACTGTGGGCAGCACGGTGGGCGATGAGCCCGGGGCCCCAGGCCGCGTCACCTCACGCCGGGCCCCGGGGCGCAGGCCACAGGCGGACGCACTCACCGATGTTGCAGAGCCGCCCAGCGTGGCCCGGGGGGCAGGCGCATACGGTGGTCCCGGTGGCCACGATCAGGTGGCAGGTGCCCCCGTTCAGGCACGGGCTGCTCAGGCAAGCTGGGGGGAGGGCTCAGAAGCTAGGCCTCAGGCCTTGAGGGCGCTGTAGCTGGGGGACCCGGCGAGCCCCGCCCCCTGCCGTGGCCTACCTGTGTGGCGGGTGCCCTCGCAGCGGATCTGGCCCCCCGCACACTCACACTGCTCCACTCGGCCCTGGCTCACTCGGGCCCAGCGATCGCCCGCCTCCAAGTACTCATAGCGCGTCTCATCGAAGCATCTCTCTGGGGGTCGCAGAGTGCCCTGCACCCCACTGCACCCGGGCGGCCACCCTCCCACCGCCAGAAGCCCCGGTGGCCCTGCTCACCTGTGCCACAGTTCTTGCCTGTGAAAGCCATGGGGCAGGTGCAGTGGTAGGACTCGGGGTCCTGGGTGTTGGAGCATGAACCCCCGTTGAGGCATGGGCCAGAGGCACAGGGATCCAGGGCAGCTGGGGGGACGGGGGGGAGGTGTAGGGGGCAGGTGTACCCCAAACCCTGTGACCCTCTCTGTTTGCCAAGGACTGCAGGGCCTTCATCGGACCCACCACCTTAAAGGTGCCCCTTCTGGGTTCCTTGGGTGCCCTTGTCCCGGGAAGGGGCGTAGACCTTCCCCCGTCTCCCAGCACCCCTGCCCAGCACTCAGACCCTGGGCAAGCGGGCCTCTGGCCCTGTACCGGTGTCCCGTCAGACAGCACCGTCCCCACCTGTGTGCCCTGGGACCCTTGTGCCCCGTCGACCCTATGGGCCCTCCTTTCTGTCCAGGACTCGGACTGTGCAGCCGCATGGTCCAGCCACACCACCAGGGGGCGCCTTGGTCCCAGCAATGACTGAGGCAGCACCGTGGCTTGGAGAAGGCAGGGTCCTGTCTGGGAGGGGTCCCACCTTCCGCACTCCTGCAGGCCCCTGGGCTGATGACTCCTCTGTCCTCTCCCAGGGCTGATGACTCCTCTGTCCTCTCCCAGCCCCCCAGGGCTGCAGCGGAGTCAACCCCAAAGTTCCCTCACATACTCCAAGCAAGCCCCCAGTTCCAGGTCAGCTCTGTCCCCTTGGCCCCTGCCCCATCCGCACGTTGCCCTAATATAATGCTCCCCTGCGCTCACCGCCCCCAGCCCCCTCCTAGCCTGGGCTCAGGAGCCCCCACCCCGTTCCCTGCGCACCCACCTGGGCCCTCCCTGGGCGCTGAGGCCTGCACACAGTAGCCCCAGGCCCTGTCACGGTCATAGTTGTGAGTGGTGGCGCACCTGGGGGAGAGGAGGCACCTGGGTCCCCCGGGCCGGGGATCAGCCCGCCCCAGTGTGATGCCCACAGGGTGGCCCCTCTGACCGCCCTGGGGCTCGTTCCCTACACCTGCTGTGGGCCAGGCTGTCTGGGGGCGGGGTGTGGAGGGTGGGAGGGTCTCCGGATTGGACAAGGGGCCGTGGGGACCGGGAGGAGGGGAGGCGGACGGTCTGTGCATGCGGGCCTTGTCCCCAGCGGCGACCCACCACTTCCTGTGGGCGCTCCCCTCCGAGGTGCAGGTGTGCAGCATACGGCCACCGTAGCGGAAGGGGAAACTACAGGGCTGCCCGTCCTCTGTGAGCACTGCAGGGGGAGGCGAGAGGGGTCGAGGGGCTCCCGTGCTGGGCACCTCCTGACCCCACACCGCACACCCCACTCTCCAGCAGTCCCCCGAGCCCCTCCCAGCCCGCCCATCCAGGTGCAGCCTCCCACCTCCGGGAGGTCTCCTGACCCACCTGGGCTCCCAGGGCTGCTGCTGGAGGGAGCCCTGGGCGGGGGGCTCAGCCCCCTACCACGGGGTCCCTGTGTCTCTGGAGCACTCGTGGCCAGGGTCACAGGGGTCACCGAGGTTACGGGGTTCGTGGGGGTCCCCGGGGTCACTGTGGCGTTAGGTTCTGGGGGTTCTGTAAGGTTCTGGGAAGGGCAAAGAGGGCTGAGATCGCGTCGGTGTGGGATGGGCGCCCCTCACACTCAGGCCCTGCTGGCTGGGCCGGTCGCAGTCCCCGGCCTGGTTTCCACATGGTGGCTCTCAAGTTTTAGAGGAGAAACCAAGGGGACACTGGCCGTCCTGAGTTCCTCAGCCCGACCCCATCCCCTTCCCTCCTGCCGAGCCCACAGGGTTAGACAGGGTGGGCTTGGCATCTGCCTAGGCTGGGGCACCCTGCCTTCTGTTCTGGGGGATTAAACAGCAGCCGTGAGACCTTGAGAGGTCCCCCACCCAGTCCCCAAACAGTGGGACCCAAAGACAAGGCAGTGGCCCTGATGCCCCCGGGCGGGGGCCCAGCAGGTCAGATCCCCAGGCCCCCAGGCCCCCTAGGCCAGCCAGCATGCCACCTCACCCGCCGAAGGCCAGCTTTCACCAAGTTGGAGCCCTCCCACGTTCCACAGCCCACCCCGGCCCCAGGACCCAGGGTGGGCACAGGGAGGCCACGGCCACCGTGCCACGGGCTCAGCGCTCACCCTGCCAGCCTGGGGCTGGGCCCCGCAGGGCACCAGCAGCAGCAGCAGGAGCAGGGCCATTCCGGGCAGGGGGCAAAGGCTGGGAACCCAGGCCCAGCGCCCCGTGGCTCCTGAGCTGGCGTGAGGGGCAGCAGGAGGCGGAAACAGAACAGCCAGGGCAGGTGGGGGGTCAAGGCCACCTGGCAATGATTAACCTGGCTGCCACAGTGCCGGCCCCACGTGGTCCTCGTGTCTGCTGCCCCGTTCTCCCCACCTGGTCCAGCTGTCCCTCTGGCATCAGCCACTCTAGTCCTGGACCTGACAATATCCTCAGACCCCTCAGACACACAGCCAGTGGGGACCTGAATTCCTGGCCCCAGCATCTGGTCCCCAGCATCCGGTCCCCGCCTCTCCGCAGGGCTGGTTGCGGTCTGTTAGTGAACTATCGATAACCAGAGTGGCCTCGAGTGCTGAGCCTCCCAGGCCTGGGGGGCGGGTGCTAGCCCAGAGGAGGGTGTGTGCGCTGGGCTGAGTGTTGCGGGCAATGAGCCCAGGACAGGGGCCCCTGCTGTCCTCAGCACTCCAGCTCGGCCCCTCCCAGGATAAGCCTGGGGTGGGGGCTCTCACGGGAGTAGAGCTGGGGAGGCGGGCAGCACCGGAGCCGGCAGTCCCCCTGCCCTAACTCTGCAAGCTGCCTGGGAATGTCTCTTCCCCCGCCTGGCCTGGACCCCCGGGGCACCTCCTCCAGGAAGCCTTCCCACCCCTGCACTCCCTGAGCCCTGGGCTTCCCCTTCACAGCTTAGCTGACGTGACGCTGTCCCCATTTGTGTCTGGGTCTGCCCCCACCCCATCCTGAGCTCTGGCTGGGGCCAGCTATCTCTGGGTGGCTCAGGTCCCCCGAAGAGCCCCAGCCAGGCACCCAGGGCCCCCCAAGGCCACAGAGACACGGCCTAGGATCCTGCCCAGGTCTGCACGCACCTTGCGCTCTCCATCTGGGCCCTGGGGCGGGCTGCCCCCTGGACACCACCGTAGTAGGTCCTCCCCACCCCTACGAGTCCCAGAACGCGTGACTGGAGGGCGCCAGGCACAGCTGCCCGGGTTCCCTGTAGATTAGCTCAGTGGCCCACATGGGGAGGAGGCGAGGGCCGGCCCTCACTTTGGCCTAGGGATCAGCTGGGCACTGTGGCCACCTCGCTGTGCGCCCCCAGACCACTCTCTCTCTGGGCCCCATTTTGCCATCTGCACAAAAGGAGGGAGAGTGGAAACTGAGTGTGCACCCAGCCTGGTGCATGGTGGGTGTGGGGTTCAGGGGGTGGGGGGAGCGTGGTGGGTGCTGGGGGGAGGGGAGAGGGGTGAGTGTTGGGGAGTGGGGGGGACATGGTGGGTGCTGGGCCCTGCTCTCCCTTCTGACCCCTCCCAAGGCCCCATCCAGAGCACTGCTCGCTGGGCGCTGCCCCCTACAAGCATCTGGAACCACCCCGGGGGCCTTGCTGAGTACTCGTGAGTTGGGCTCCTCCCAGCAACCCTGGAGGGAGGGGTGCCGGGCCCCTCAGTTGCTCCATGTTGGGGTTCCGCTGAGGCAACCTGGGCCGATGACTGTCTCTACCTGCTTCAGCCAGCACCATACGGTGGCCCTGCCCGATGGCCTGGCCTGCCCCCCGCCCCATGAGGCTCAAGCCGCTCTGTAGCCAAACTCACCACGGCCTCGGGCCGGCTGCGCCCAGGCCTTCTGGGCGGTCAGGTTTCCTCTCGGTGGTTCCTCCGCAGACGGCCTCGCCAGACCACCCCTCTGGGGCCAGGCGCAGGGATTGAGGCGGGGCCGCCTGAAGAGTCCCCACTGCGCGTGGGAGCCACAGCAGCCCAGTGCCCTGCCGTCTGTGGGTCTCCCAGGCTGAGCCCTGCCCCCACCGGTGGTGGCCCCAGAAGGAGCCCCGCACTGACCCGCAGGGCATGGTACAAAGCGGACGTGACCAGGAGCCCTGACCCAGAAGGGTCGCTTCCTCTCACGCTCCGGAGCACCACGACCTTGGGTCCCGTTAGGTCGCCTTCATTCTCTTTGCCCACCCTTGACCTCAGCACCAAGAGCCATTTTCTTCTCAACCCCTCCCCTGATAAGCCCCCGAGACAATGGCTTCCCGAGCGCAGGGTCTCTGGCCCCCGCACCCAGCATGAGGCTGACACTCGGGGGGTCCCCAAAGTTGATTTATTGAGGGAAGGCCGGAGCCAAGGGGCAGCAGGGGACAGGGTCCGAGGAACCCACTGAGCCAGCTGTGGCCAGCATCCGAGGCCGGGCCCCCCTGCCCTCTCCTGGTTTGGCTCCCAAAGGTGTGGCGGCCAAGGTGGCCCCTCCAAGGCCCTCAAGATGATATGGGGCTGTCCCCACGAGATCATGGGCCTCTGCACACGTGTCCAGGTGGGGAAGCTCAGGCGCGGGGTCGGGCCTCGGGGCAGCCTCAGACGAAGGTCGCGTGGTGTGGGCCGGCCTTGGGCTTGGCAGGCCCACCTGGGACGGGGCTCAGGCTACGGAGGTCCGAGGTCAGGGGCCCACTGGCCCGTGACCTCTGGGGGCCCGTCCGCACCCTGGGGATGCTGCTGCCTGGCCCAGGTGCCAAGCCAGCAACGCGGTCCACGTCGATGATGGTTTTGACTGGGAGGCCCTGGCTGCCTCTCGCTCCGCCTCCTGTCACAGGGAGAAGAGAGAGACTGTCACCAGTCTGCCCTGCCCTGGGCTCTGGAGCCCAGCAGGAACCCAGGGCAGCAGACTGCACCACCCTCGTCACATAGGCACAGGTGATCCGTGACCCTGGGCGCCCTGGGCCTGGGGCGGAAGTGCCGGGAAGGTCTGCCCTGCAGACAGCTGTCTGCAGGGCGCCGACCTCAACCTCTGGTTAAGAAAGCACGCCCCCAGGCCCTCACGGGCCCCCCGCCACCCAGAACGGCGGGGGGCTCTCAGCAGATGTGCCGCATGGTGTGGAGGGCCCAGCCAGGGGGCTTGGGCCTGAGTCCTAAGAGGCTGGTGCAGGGGGATGGCAAAGGTGGGGACCCTGGGTCGGGTCACCTGTGCCCTTCAGACACTCCCGTGGCCCTCCCATGGCCCGACTGTGGCTTCAGAACAGAAGTCAGCTACCTGCTGAGGTCCCCAAACCCCTAGCCCGAGCGAGTGTGGCCCCCTGATCCCTCCTGCTGGGGCTGTCTGCAGGGCTCACCCTCAGGCCGGGGTGGGTGGGTGGGGGGGGGTCTCAGGGAAGTGGGGG